AGCCCAGGCTGTAGTTAGGCATTTGGGGGAAGAGCAGACACCCAACTAGAGTAGTCTTGCAACTACCCAAGACTATCAAACTTAATTTGAGGTAGAGAGGATGATTCTTTATTTCTTGGGAATCGAAAGTGGTAACGCTCTAGAGAAAAATACTAAATAAGTGAGAACTAGAGCCATATCCATATGCAATTTTTGTCTCTTGCTCTGAGGAAGGCAGACTGCTAGATGAAAGATGGTCACCGTTCAAATGTCAAAATCTGTCTGTGGTATCTGTATCTAAAATTAGGAAAAACTCCACACCTTTTGTGCAGAATAAGTACCTGATAAACCAAGTTTTCTACCACTAGCAAATGATTGTTGGGGTTACTACGTGGTCCTGACTGAGGCAAAGAGATTAGCAGTTAAGTCGGTGGGTTTTTACCACGAGAGAATATCTGCCAATCATTATCAAAAGAGAAGGAATCAGCAATAGCAGTACTCCAAAAAAGAGGAAAATAGTAATTTCTAATTATTATTCAACTCATTGACTGCTTACTCCAAAGCACATTTTGTTCAGAAGATGAATCTAGTTACGCTGTCAGGTGACACTTGCCTTTGGGCTGGGGGAGAGGCTGATCCCAGAGGCTTTCCTCCCAGTGCCCGCTGCAATGCTGGAGGAAGGAAGAACAGCCGTCGTCCCCTCTCTCTGCATCGAGGGCACTCACAGACTGGAGAAGGGGCAGAGATAGCTGTGAACGTTACAGGGCATTATGCGTGCATGTGTATGAAGTACTTCTAAATCCCCATAGCGATAATGTTCGAATTCTTTCTTACTCTGATGATTTGGGTATTAATTTGCTTCCTGTGATTATCCTGTGTATATGCAGCCTATGGGGTTTTTTTCCTTTCCCCTTTGCATGTGATGTGCTAGCAAAGGAAGACAGTAATAGTCTCCCAGGATATGTACAGCTCTGTTCATATCTGAGGTATGAAGTCAACTCAAGACCATTTTGTTCTCATAAAATATACAGCACTGCAGTTTAATGGATAATGGCATAAATGCCAAGATTTGATGGGCAGAACCATTTTCACTGGGAGGCAGAAAAAGACTATGAGGACTCAGTGTTGGATGGGAGATACGTAAAACCATGTAGAAGCAGGACCTTGCGTGCTATGGGGGTAGTGATTTTGCCTTATCTGAGTGTGCTAACACTTGGCACACTGAGCTATTATAAAGTAACAATACATACGAGATTTTTTTTGAAGTACTAATGAGGAAGCTGACGGGTCTTAAAGTAATTCCACTCCTTTAGACAGGTGTTCTCTTTTCTACTTTTTTTGTACTGCTTTGGGTGATAAAGATGATTTCCCCTCGGGTCAAAAGGAACTGACTATGTGTTTGCTTCTGTTTGAATGCATCGGTCGGTCTGGAGGGCTGCTGAGCATCTCCAGTTCCCACTGCACCCAGGGAAAATTATAAGGGAGCGTTGCAGCTTTATATCATGTTCTGGGTATGCTCAGCTCTGCTCTGAACTTGGGCAGGAAACTTGGAGGGAAGGGAAAAAAAAAAAAAAAAACAAGGAAAAATTGCAGAAGCTGGAGTCTCTTATTTGAGTTGTCTGTATAGAAGCTAAAAAAAAAAAGCTGCCTAGCTGCTGTGCTGGTTGCAGGTATCTGTCTGACAGCCCAACCATATGTCAGGAACTTCTGCCCTTGAATCGAACCGTAAGGGTGAATTGAACAGATTTGTTGATGTGCACAGAGTAGGAAACGACCGAAAAGGAGCGCTCCTTAGCAAGTAATTACCTAGGGCTTTCCTTATACTAGAGGTGAGAATCGGTCGTAGGATTTGAAGACCAAGCTAAGATGGCTTGGTCTCGCCTGAGGGCTGTCTTTTAACAGAGAGGGGAGCGTGTGTGTGCGCGCAGGCTGCTCCAGGTGCTTGGGGAAGGCTGCCTGCGTTCTGGGGAAACCCTGGACCTGCTCCTGCGTTTTACAGCTTCACCGCTGCTATGCTGTGAATTAGTGTTTTAATGTATATTACATAATTGTTGGATTCGGGTCTTTCAACTCTTAAATCCTCAAACCCCGTTTATGTTATTGTTTAGCCAATAGAGGGTATTTCAGCATCTTTCTGCCTGGCAAAACTGTGGTGTATTTCACATTATTCTAAAATTAGCTGCACTTTTGAAGGACTGATTTGCGTCCGTCCACAGAACGCAGTCGCGTACGAGTCCAGCCAGGCTCGCCGAGGGCGACGGTGCAATTATAATTGGTGGCAATCAGCTTGTTTTGCTCCCGCTTGGAAGACCGTGAAGCGCGTGGCACTGGGGGAACAGAGCGAGGGTTGTGGGGCAGGACCCCGGCCTCCGAGGCCGTTTGAGGGAAGAGGGGAAAAAGGGGGGAAATAACCTCAACCCACGCAGCGCTATTTTGAGGGTGGGTGGGTTTGGGGTTTGTGGGTTTTTTATTTTGGGTTTTTTTGTTGTTGTTGTTGGGTTTGGTTCTTTTTAGCTCTCTTTTCCCGGGGTGGGGGCGGTTTCCCACCGCCGGGGCCCGCGGGCTCCCTCCCGGCCGCGCACAGCCCGCAGTGCCGCGCCGCCGCTGCGGAGGCGGGCGGGGAGGGAGGGACGGGGCGGG